CCCGCGGTTTCCGCTCGCAGCGAGCTGGTTTCCGTGATATTTGCTCGACCTTTTCTACCGCTGGTTCCTCTCTGCAATATTTCGCGGATCTTGCTTCGGCGTTCCGCGCTGACCAACTTTCCCAACTTCCGGATTCACCGTTGGACGCGAACCGAATAATTGAAACATGAAAAATTGTGATTACTCGGTTGCCGGGATGTACCGACTCGAAAGCTTACCTCGCAACAAAACCCCGGCACTGCGGTACAGACGAAAACGGAGAAAATCAATGGATACGCCACAGCAAGGTCTCAATCTTGGTTCGAGCTGCAGGGTTCCTCGTTCCGTGCGGCAAGCTTCACGGTTCACCGTGATGGAGGAGAAAAATGAGGAACTCTTTCGACCGGGTATCGGATCTTCGTACGCACTGCGGATCGTGATTAGGTCGGGACTGCTGGGAATCCGGGCAGCGATACGAGAAGCTCGTCGTCGCGACGATTTCGATCCCCGCTGGCTCGTAACCGTGTTCGGGATATTGCGAACAGCCGGAGATACGGAACTTTAACATTCCACGACTGCGGTCCCTCGACGATCATTTCCTTCTCGCTTCGTTCCTGAATTTTTCTCTTCGAGATGGTCCAATTAAACGTGCCCGTGATAAGCGGAATACTTCAGGGTCCGAACTGGTTTTTCTAGGGCCCCGTAAAAGCAGCCCAACATTGCTAATGGTTTCTAGAGATTTTAACTTTGCTCTGGATAGACAGTAATTACCGATGTTAACGCTATTACTAATCATTCTTATTATCGCCAATACTATTACTAGCAATAGTTACTGCTAATAATCACAGGGTCGTAATTACTACGAGAAACCTCAAGCTCTCGCCGTCCATCCCGCGAAACGCGTATCTTCGAAGAATTTTACAAAGAATTTTAACCGACATTGTTCCAACAGTCAAAGTATTAAGTACACATCGGGGGTGGGAAAATTCTTAGTCGCGGCTCTGTATTCATCAACTTGGCTTCCTACATTCCGATCTCCCGTGAAACTTTGGCAACACTCCCGTGGGCGTCTCAACTTCCGTGAACCCGTTCTCGTGAATTTCGGGAGTTATCGCGTCATTTGCCGGAGTTTCGCGTAGAATAGGGGAAAAATCCTGCTCGGGGCACGAGTTCGGGTTAAAGCTCGTATATCGATTGAATTGTTTCACACGCCGCGAGCCGACGGTTTCGCTAATTTCACGGGCCCTCTCGCCGCAGAACATTAAACCCGGTGCATTTTTTACGAGCGGTCGTAGTCGCGTGACGTAATACGTATGCGCGCGTGTGCGCAGTGAATTATGCGAGGGAGCGTGGGCGAACGCGATGTCTGATGATATAAACGCGTTATTGTCTACCGCGGGCTCGTCATAGTCTCGTCATTGTTCCGCCATGGTTCCGTGATGTCGTTATTCTCTTGCGTTTAAGCCTGCGGCCATTCTGCTGGGTCGTGGCGCAGTCCCATCGTAGGGCTGTTACGTAATTTCACGAGGGTTTCCTGTAGTTCTATCGTAGGACTTGTATGGTTCACCGCGTAAGTCCATGGCAAGCTTGCCGAGCTCTTTTATAAGTAAGTTAGAGGGCGACCTGTGGAAACAGGTCGTAGGAGCGTTGTAGGGCCGACAATGTTCGCCATAGTTTCAAGATAGGGCTGCCACGGCTCGCCATAGATACGTTAACTGTCGTGGCTGATTGTACATGTATTGGAAACATTCCGTGGACGAACTTGTAGGTATTTTACTGAGTCGTGGTGTGGTTTTATCATAAGGCTACTGGGTTTGCCATAGTATCACCATAGGGCTTCCAAGTTCGTCATCATTCCATCGCAGAGTTATCAGAGCCTAACTCATAGAACCTTCGCGAGAACTCAAGTTCTATTCGTATGAGCCTAGAATCATTCTACGAAGCTTTTTCGTAATCTAAACATAGGGCTACCAGGTTCGTCGTAATTCCATCATAGGGCTACCAGGTTCGCCAAATCCATCCATTACGCGACGACGACTCCCTCGCGCGCAAATTTCAGCGCAATCTTTCTTCCCTCGATCCCTCGGTCGCTCGTTCATCGAACCTCCCCTGGAAAAATCATTTGGCAGGCAGTTCGATCGTTGAATCAGCCCCCTAAAAGTCAGGTTGAGCTCCGAGCGTCATCGATACGCGTAAAAATAGACGGTCGAAAGCTCGGGGCGGCCGACAGATTGCGAAGTTCACTCGGCGCTCCACTCTTGTTTCGCGGGCCCTCGTGCACAGCCTGTTACGTCCTCAATTCAAACGTGCCGTGAACGAATTAATTAGCGGCGAGAGACGCGCAGAGTGGCGCGCGCGTGTCACGTACCGCGTTTAAAAAATCGCGACTGACAACGAGCTCCGGCGA